AATTCTTGACAGAAAATATCCTCTTGTTTATATATATTTTTTTTGCCTCGGAATGGGGGGGGGCTACAGACCTAGTAAAAATGTATGACATTTTTCATCATTTAATTAAGGTAAGTCACTCGTCAAATTTGTTAAATCAAGGATTTTTGAGGAAGTATATTTTGGATAAGTACTCATATAGTATGACTCAAAATCGCAGATAAAATAGGGGGTCAGTGTGCATCTTACTGATCTATGGTACAATTAAGTTGACCTTTTTGCACTTAAATTTTAACTCTTTGATTTATTACTTTATTTCTAATTTTATTTTATCAGATGTAACTACGTTAATAAATTTAATCTTATCTTACATAAAATAGTTTGAATAATATTTATTATTGAACAAATCTTGCAGATTAATGCGCGTTTATTATTGTGTGACCTTTTTGCACTAAAAAATGAAAGAAAAAGTGAGCTAGCTCACATACCCCACGCTCCCCCAAAACTTGACGGTGAAACACATAATGAAAGGCACAGTGCTTTTTAAATACATAGTATAGATCAAACATAGGTAATCAGAGATTACAGAGCTCACCTCAACGAATGTTGTCTTTAAGTAAGGCAAAGTCACACAATTAACCAACAAAAAGTGTACATTCCAAAAATGAAAATATTTAAGCAATTTTGATCTGATACTTTGAATAGACCTACATAAAAAATTTAAACTAGTTCTTCTTCATGAAAATGTAATCAAAATCCAGAATCTGAAGCAAATTTGAGAGTTTTCATCTCTTGATGCAACGTTTGTGCAAGTTTGGTTTATACAATGTTATGTAAGCCTTATAGTTTTTTGGTATTAGACTTGCACCCATAACTTTTACCTGGTCTATTATCTGAAAAATGCATGTCGAATCAGCATCCGAAGCAAGTCCATTAGTTTGCATCCTAAGATTTATAGTCCATGCAAGTTTGCTCATTATAGGGCTCATAGTTAATTGGAAATGAAACATGCATCAAAAACTAACATTTTTACTCATCCACAAAAAGTAGGTCAGATTCAGCATCTGAAGCAAGCCTGGTAGTATGCATCCTTATATGCATTATCCATGCAAGTTTGGTCATTAAAGAATCATAGATACTTGGAAATGAATCATGCATTAACTTTAACCTATTCACTCTACCGGAAAACGTAAGTCAGATTCAGCATCCAAAGCAAGCCTGGTAGTATGCATCCTTAGATGTATCATCCATGCAAGTTTGGTCAATATAGGGCTTATAGTTACTTGGAAATGAAACCTGCACCAAAAACTTGAACCTGTTCACTCAACCGGAAAAGTAGGTCAGATTCAGCATTCGAAGCAAGCCCGATAGTATGCATCCTTGGATGTATCATCCATGCAAGTTTGGTCAACATAGGTCTTATAGTTACTTGGAAATGAAACCTGCACCAAAAACTTTAACCTGTTCACTCAACCAGAAAAGTAGGTCAGATTCAGCATCCGAAGCAAGCCCGTTAGTATGCATCCTTAGATGTATCATCCATGCAAGTTTGGTCAACATAGGGCTTATAGTTACTTGGAAATGAAACCTACACCAAAAACTGCACCAAAAATGTTAACCTGCTCCAAAAACATTAACCTGGTCATTCCTTTGCTGAAATTGCAGCATCTGAAACTTTGAATGGTGCAATGAAACACACTAGAACCATCCTCCATGCATGTCTAATCCATATAGGACATAGAAGTAGTTAAAAAGAAAACTGCTCCAAAAAACTTAACCTGGGACGCCAACGCCGACACCGACACCGACGCCGAGGGTATTACATAAGCTCCCCCAACTTCGTTGAGGTGAGCTAAAAAGGGCAATAATTGCAAAAAAAATCTTCACATTAAAATGTCTTACATATGAGGACATTTAAATGTGGAATGAAGTTTCTAGATAAACAATGGAATCAAAATTTCTTGGCATTATACAAATCCAAACATGAATTTGAAGTGGTTGGGGGGGGGAGAAATTTTCTTGAATAATAGGCAAAACTCTTTGGGATAAAAGAAACTATATACAACAGTTTAAGAGGAGTGGTTCTGACAAACTGTTCATTTCTATATTCAAAATATGGCCAAAAAGTCTAAGTTGGAAAGTGTGGAAATTCCCGGAAAAATAAAGGAATCGGAATTTCCTGGTAATATGCACATCTACACATTGTGTCCTAAATATCTGCAAAGTTTGAAGAAATTCTGTGCAGTGGTTTATGAGGAGTTGCGCTGACAAACTGTTCACCTCTATATTCAAAGTATGGCCAAATGCCTAAGTTAAAAAGTGCGGAAATTCCCGGAAAAAATGATGGAATCGGAATTTCCTGGTAATACTGTAAATTGTTTTAATTCCACGGTATTAAAATTTCACGATATCTCAAAAAGTACCATTTGCGATGGTTTTAATTTCACGCTGCAAGAAATTAATTCAAAATTTTCTATAAGCAATTTAACATTATTAAAAACTAATAATAACATTCACGATGGGTTTAATTTCGCGGAAAATTAATAAATCGCGAACATAGCGAAATTAAAACCATCGTGAATATTTGCCAATTTACAGTATGCACATCTACACATTGTGTTATAAATACCTGCAAAGTTTGACGAAATTCTGTGCAGCGGTTTATGAGGAGTTGCGCTGACAAACTGTTCATCCCTATATTCAAGGTATGGCCAAATGCCTAAGTTAAAAAGTGAGGAAATTCCCGGAAAAAATAATGGAATCGAAATTTCCTGGTAATATGCACATCTACACATTGTGTCCTAAATACCTGCAAAGTTTGACGAAATTCTGTGCAGCGGTTTATGAGGAGTTGCGCTGACAAACTGTTCATCCCTATATTCAAGGTATGGCCAAATGCCTAAGTTAAAAAGTGAGGAAACTCCTGGAAAAAATAATGGAATCGGAATTTCCTGGTAATATGCACATCTACACATTGTGTCCTAAATACCTGCAAAGTTTGACGAAATTCTGTGCAGCGGTTTATGAGGAGTTGCGCTGACAAACTGGTCATCTCTATATTCAAGGTATGGCCAAATGCCTAAGTTAAAAAGTGCGGAAATTCCCGGAAAAAATAATGGAATCGGAATTTCCTGGTAATATGCACATCTACACATTGTGTCCTAAATACCTGCAAAGTTTGACGAAATTCTGTGCAGCGGTTTATGAGGAGTTGCGCTGACAAAGAGGACTGACTGACGGACTGACTGACTGACTGACTGACGGACGGGTCAAAAACATTATACCTCCCGCAACTAGTTGCGTGGGGTATAATAACATATTTGGGGTATTAAAAAACTAAATAGGCAATGAAATATTTTCTTATATCAAGCTTTTTAGGAGTTAAGTGCTGATCAGTCACAAGTATCGAGTAGTTTAAAATAATGAAAGAAAACGTTGGGGTCAGTGATGTTAATTTTGAAATATTGGTCAAAATATGTGATTTTCAGGCAAAAAATGGCGTAAATTTTATCTTGACTTCTTTAATATATCTTCATTTCTTGGTAAAGTTTGTTGAGGGAAGGTGTAAAACTTGTTCTAAAAATATAAATTAAGACCTATATTAAATATTCCTGCAAAATCATAACAGAAAATATTCTCCCAGTAAAAGTATGTGAGGCTAAAGTTTCAAGACATTAAATTTAATAAATGTGCAGATTTGCAGAAATTTCTGCTGAATATCCTTCCACCACAAGAAATAGTCCCTCATAAATCTTGCTTCTTTGTAGATTTTTAAGCAGTTTTTTCGATGAATGTTAAAAAATTTACATTGTTGAATATAAATATTTTATAAAAATTGAATTTTAATAAATATTTTCTAAGTAAGAGGTTCTGCGTGAACTTTTCTAAAAAGCTGACGAGTGACTTACCTTAATTAATAAAAATTGGGAAAAAAAGGAATTAAAAAGAAATGAAAATTATTTTAAACAACTTCGAGACTCTAGGGTTTAATATGCAAGCTCATGTAATTGTAAATAAATCAGTGTAATTTACTAAGATAATTCTGTTTACAAACCAATTTCTTTTTCATTCTGTGTCAGTTTATGGTATAATGTACACGTTTTTCAATTTTCATTAGGTAAAATTTGAAGCCATTCTTTACAATTTTCGTCATGTTCCCTATTTTCGGTTTAAAAAAAAAACCCATCTACATAGATCCAGATTTTGTTGATAAAAATCTCTTATTTACTAACTTCATCTCCTAATAAAACTTTACCCCCCCTTGTTTAATCCAAATTATATTATTTTAAGCAATTTTGTAACCCTTTATTGCTCCAGGCTAGTTACCTAGTCAGCTGTTTTCGTTCAAGCGAGACGTGATTTCCTACTTGTAGGTTTCAGTTTTCACACCTCTGCTGCATTAAATAAACAAAGGGACTTATCTGTATATATTGAATAAACAAAGGAGCTAACGAGGACTACACAAATTTTGTACATGGTACATCTAAAAAATTCATTTTCGCCACTTATGAATTTCTTTTCGCCACTTTTGAAAAAAATTTGCAATTGGCGACAATGGCGAATCACAGCTCGAGCCCTGGAGGAGATGCTGATGGACTGATAAACTAGTAACATGTACCGTCATACTTGTACTTTTTTGCTCTTTGGTGTCTGTAGAGTAGAATGTGGATAAAAAAGTTTTTTGTAGTCAAGTTCTCACAGATTTTATCAAGTCCATGTTCTTCAATTTTTGTTACACTTTCACTTCTTCAATTCAATTTACTTAAGGGCAGTGTTTTCAATAAGAATCGGCAAAATTAACTGCCTGTACAAGAAATTTTGTTGGCTATGACATATCCATCATTAAGATTTTGCGGGGGTCGGTACACTTGAGTAACTTCCCCTGAGTGTGCTCTTTTTCAATGAAGTTTGATTAGCATAAATGGTTTCCTGCTATTCCAAATATATTTCCTTCTATTGAAAATCTTATCGAAAACACTGAAGGGATGTAACTCTTTCTTCATAAAAGAAAAAAAAGAAAGTTGAAAATAAAATCAAGTTTACTTGGATTAGAAAGAAATCTGTTATCACACAGCAGTAAAATCCTTTATCTTAAAAAACCAAGCTCAGAACATTTCGTCTGACACAGTTAGTGAGTCCATTTGTTATATGTTTCATTCTCATTTACCCTATGAATTCCATCAACTGCATACTGTCAGACACTGACCATGAACACTATGTGGTAATTCCACGACATTAACATCAACTAGACTTCTTTGTCCTCTTTTCTGTGCGGAGTTTTCTGTCTATATATCTCTTCAGTTCTTTGTTTTCTACTAAATCGTCTTTCTGGATTGGATTCTCATTCATACAACCACTCACTGGACACCTGTGAGGAAAATTTTACGTTAAAAAATTCTAAACCTTCAATATTTTCTAACCTGAGTGTACAAAACATGAGTTCAATTAATGTCCAGTTATCAATCTGAATCAACTTCAAGGGTAACTAAAGCTATTTTCATTCAATGGATCCCTAGATTTAACATAGAGTTTCTTTATACATTACCAGATCCCAAACATCTCAATAAAAAAAATTATGAATGAAAACGATTGACTTACTTTGCCTTATTCTTCTTTGTTTTGATGTAGTGTAGAATCCCCTCCCTGTCATAGTTGTGTTCACAGTGGCGGTTCTTGACGGGATGGACCATGTCTTTTCCTGTGTAGGGACACCTGGTGTTAATGTCAGTCTGTGTCAGTACCATCTCCTCGTCCCCAGTATAGGTGGGGGTCTGACGCACACTGTCCACCTGTCTGTCTGTTAAAGCAGAAGTATAATTTACTTAATATTTAACAATTTTGCCGTATACGCAATTCAACAACTGAAGGGAACAAATTAATTATACAATTTACATTTTACAATTGTACACAATGCTTACAAATTAAAAATGTAATTTGACACAATGCTACAACTGAAGGGAAGAAACTTGATGAAATGATCAACGACATACAGCTGCATGTGACTGAATGAAAAAAAAAAAAACAGATAATGATAAATTACAGGCCTCATGCGACCTAAAAAAAAAGTACATTTTGACCATTTAGCAATGCCTACCGCTACATTTCCACTGACCTGGATGAAGTATTTCTGTAATTTTCTCCGCCAAGTCCATGTATTTCTCGTGGTTTTCCAGTGGAACCTTCTGACTTTTGCTCTTATAGACCTGTAACTTTCCCTCCACTGCCTCCTCCAAATCTACAGTCTCCTGTGATTGTGCAGCCTGTTAAACAAATTAAATGTGTAATATTTAAATGGAAGGGCATTGCCAATCCATGGGACAGTCTCACAAAAAATATCAAAACACTTTGAGACATAGACAATCTTCATGATATACAATGTGCTAACTCCCTCCTCAACAGAAATCTCTTTTATAAAATAATTTTTCTGATGAGGTTCTAATTTACAGTCAGATTGTGATCACGAAGTTGAACCTATTTTTTTACATCTCCTACACTGTTCATGACTATAAACATGAACCTGATCTTCTACATTGTTCATGATGTAATACAAACCTGTTTTGTTACATCATCTACACTGTTCATGAAATCATCTAAATCTCTCTCCATCTGTACGTAGTCCTTCATCACACTCTTCAGAATATCTATTTCCTTCTCACTTTCTGAAATCAAATAGGCTTTCTTAATGAAATTTTAAACACAGAAAAAGGTTTAATTTACATAAAATTTCTTAATGAAGTTTGAATTCCTGATTTATTTTTGGGGAAAAAACTTTTGCACAAAGGTATAAAAAGGCAAATGATTGAGCTTTAAATGAATTTCATTTCATAATGAATTGAAATTCATTGCAAGCTTTCTGTTAATTTTCATAATTAAAAATGGGTCATATCTAACATCAATGAGTTGTGTAGTATTTACTAAATTCAAAGGCAGTGCTACGGATGATTTTGACGCCATTGCATGAAACATTTTAGATTTCAAATTTATCATTGTGTCATGTCTACATGTGGCATGAGATGGTCAGAATGAACCGTCTTAACAAAGATACTTTATGCAATGGTCATCCCTGATGGCAGTGATTGGGAACCCATGAAGGTCAATGGGACTAAGACAACACTGCTTTCATTTTTAATGAGCCATTTTCAAATTAAGTGGTCAATTCTTTTATTTTAAAGAGCCATTGTGAGAAAGAAAATGACAAACAGAAATGAAACACTATATTATTAATTTTGCATCTATTTTTTCTTGTGTGTAATACAGAGAGAATATTTAAATAACTGCAGTTAATGCTCATGCAATATGTAATACTGTACAACAATGCAAGTATACCAAACCAGGCACAACAATTGGTTCACAATGTTAAACAAACATGCATGTAACAACACTGACCAATTTTACTGTCAGCAAAATCCTGAGCGACATCTAGCGTGGTTTCCATTCCCACTTTAATGTACTCCTGAACGGTCTTCAGGGATTTTTTAGCTTGCTCAATTACAGCAAACTGAGCCATGGTCTCCTTTTCTTCCTAAATAAAAGTCAAAAATAAAGGCACTTGAGGAATTTTGAATAATACTAAGCAGAACTTTTTTATTGTTTGTACTTTAAATTTTAATTTCATTTTTGTATTCATATATTCTTATGCAGAATTTATACAGAAACTTAAACATGAGAGGAAGAAAACATTTGCTATGGCTTTCAATTCAACATTTAGAGTAACGACATGCAAGCCTTCCCGCTGAGGGTTATGATTCAACTGTTAGGGTAAGATTTAGGTCGAGGATGGGCAAGGGTCGTGCATGCACCATTTTGTTTGTAATCATATTTAGTAGGTGAGGTCTCAATCAGGCATTCCGGTGATTGGCACGACAAAGATCCCTCACTGCTCAATGGCCCTGAGTGCCAAGTATTCAGTAAAAGTCAAAATTTGAAGCCCTTCACGGGTATACACTATATGACGTCTCTAAATGAGTGAAAAATTCTCCAAAGGCTGAAAGGGATGTATATTGATAACATCATACAATCAATCCATCAAATCTGGTTTTTATTAGAGTATCCATGAATATTTTTTACAATTATTTTTAAAACCTCCAAGAGGTCATGCATTTACGATATATCCTTTTTACTAGAATAATCCAGATTTGTCTGTTTTTTAACTATAAGATCATACGACACACATCAGCGCTAACTTTCTTTTTACAGAGTCCGTTATGCTACAGTTGTATTTTATTATTCTTCTATAAAATATTTTAAATCTCGTGGTTATCATAAAACATTCTATGCTGCTAACATAAAGATCGTACCGTTTACTGCCCAGCTTGTAACAATTACATTTACTAGGCCTACAATGTCAACATTGGATCCCTTCCCGCCAGCTTTTCATTATAAACTTCCGGTATTTTTTTTTCTTATATGTACATCGATCCCGATAAAAATGTTGGTATAATCATAGGTCTATGGTATAATCTAGGCAATGATATCTGGGTTGTCGCAGGCGTGGATTTAATTATTTTTTTAATGGGGTTGAAGAAGCAATGAGAGTGTATATATACAAAGGACAACTTAGTAGTAATACTACAGGGACGTAGTATTGTTTTGGAAAGGGGGTGTCAGCAAGGAAAAAAGATTCCGGTGATTACCTGATAAGATAAGCCTATATACAGAAAAAGGAAAATAATTTTCCAAACCTGAAAATCCTATTCTGGGTGGAAAGTGCAGGGTTATGTTTTTTTCACAGCCGATTCCTCTTTATTCTGTTCTATACAGCCTTTCATTAACCATGCGAACGTTTTGTAATATGCAATTCTATTAACTTATAATGCGTAAATTATACAATAATTTCTAAAATATATTTATATATATATAAACTTTCTGGAACCATCCGTTTTTAATTTCAATATTTTTTTATAAACGTTTGTTTGCATAACCTTTCCTTAGTTAAAAAGAAACTAGCCAAAAAGTTAGAGTGTAAGATTTAGATTAAGACCCCCCCCCCTTCGAAATTTCATTTTCGAGTTCCGTGAACTCCATTTTTCAAAGTCTTTGGCAGTTAAGACTGATAATGTATGAATAACACTTTAAGCTGCTTCTTGAATGTTGGTAAATACTATATTGCTTCGATATAATCCATAGATTAGTGTTTTTGTCATGTCTTCCCAAATTACTATAATATCTTTATCACAGTTCTCCGTGTTGACGTGACATTCATTCATTACTTCAAGTCCATATATATAAAGCAGCTGTCCAGTTAGTGGTCATTTTGTATCACAAATCATGAAGTGTCTGATCATTTTCTGTGCTCTTGTTGGTGAGTCTAGCGTCGAGGGGGAGAGGGGAGGGGTGTTACTATTAGGCATGAAAATTGTCTATATAAGATTAATAAAATAAAATTTAAGATCATTTTTTTTTAGGTTAAATGTTCAATGAAAACTGAAAACAAAATTATTTTAGCCATATCTTAAAATTTTAATTTTATATGATTAATAAGTGATAAATAATTCAGATTTTTTAAGATTTCTTTAATTTGATATATTTATTTTCAGCTTTCGTTGCATCTGAGAGGTGCTTTTCTGATGCGGACTGTGATCACGTGACCTGTGACTCTGGGTACCAAGTCGACTGCAATCATTTCCTATGTACCTGCAACCCCTCCATGTCTAACAGTGAGTACTTTAAGTGGGTTGTCTTTCATACCGGGGGGCAGGGGGGAGGTCAAAAATATTATTAAGGATACAAAAAATGCAAAAGGAGGAGATCGGTGGCTTACATCTGGCTTCGATTTCCATAGTTCTTTCTACTGTATTTGAACAACATGTACATGTATATGCCCGTATAATCGTATATGCACTTCTGTGATCTTTACTGAAACACAATACATTTTTTACGTACAAAGGATGCACAAGCAAAGACCAGTGTTCTGGGACATGTGACTCTGAGTGGCATTGTATTGACAACAGGTGTATGTGCAGAAAAGTCTAAAAATACTGAAAATGTAAGTCATTCAAGTACTAGTAAATCACTAGCTAAAGACGATCATTATTGATTTACATTGTATACTTATTGGTCAGTGTTGATTTTAATAAAAAAAAATTACTTTTGTAATTCTTATTCTACAATTGCAGAAGCTGAAAGAGCAGTTGGACAAACGCCTAACGGCCTTTCCTATCCATATATTTTGAATTTAATGGCTCAATAAAGATTCGTATAAAATTAAAGACTGTCTTCGTTTTTAAACTAGAGGTACTGTGAGCACTGAGCTCACTAAATGATACCCCCCGCCTCCCATATGAATAAAATGGCAGTCTCCATGTTTTGCTCTGGAAAATCCAAAATATATGTCAGATCAAAATGTAAAATAGGAGGTGCACAATGGCAATATGTAATAAAGATTCTGTGAAAGTTTCATCAAATTTCATTCAGTGGTATGAGAGGAGTTGCGGATAAGAGATGGGTACCCCAAAGCGTAACAGACGGACGGACGGACAGACAGACGGACGGACGGACAGACGTACAGACGGACGGAATTAACGATTACTATACAGGGACGTAGTATCCGGGGGGCCAGGGGGGGCCTGGCCCCCCCACTTTTTTTCCCAACCTTACTTACAGTATAGGAAATGTTTATTGAAAGCCTGGTTGGCCCCCTCACTTTTAGAATGTACCGATAATGTAGTATAAGAATTGGTACAAAAAGTAGTTGACACTGAGAAAAAGTTTACCTACCCCCCCCCCCCCCCCACGAAATAGGATTTTCGACTTCGGGCAACTTTTACTTTTTTTTTTTTTGCTTTTTTTTTTGCTTGTCAACTTTTTCAGGTAAGTAAAAAAAAATTTTCTCTGCCTGGCCCCCCCACTTTCAAAAACGATGCTACGCCACTGCTATATACCCTCCCGCTTTTCAAGCGGGGGGTATAATAATAAGAAATCTGAAGAACAGTTACCGGTACACATACAGGAGACAAAATTGCTAATGGTTAATAACTTTATCCCCTCCTTTGAAAGAAAAATATACATCATTAATAATTTTTCCCTATTTAGCCGACTTTGCGGAAGTTGTCAAAACCAAATTTTTGTTTATTGTCCGCAATGTTTTAACTGAGTGATTTGGAGGCTAAACCAGTGGTTGCCACTGTAACAGCGATAGTGACCATGTCTCTAAATTTGAAGAGCGGTGTGTTTATCATATCCCTCAATACCACGTAATACTTTGGCATCCATAACAAGTGCTGTATTATAGTGAGTCTTATTCTCTCATACTGAGACACCCCTCCCGGAATATTGTGATCCCCAGCTCAGAAGCCAGGGTATACTAGTATATAGTGAGACTTCCTGGGGGAAAAAAGAGTTTTCTCCCGGAAGATTAGCTACCAAGTGATACTTTCCCGGGAGACATTGCAGCCCCCCCCCCTCCTCCCCCATCATGGTGAGACTTTCCCCTTCGATTTATTTTCCCAAAAGTTCTTTGGGGTTCTGTTCAAATATAATTATATTGCCAGTCTTCCTAGAAAAAAAGGGGGGATATCAAGGTATCAATATGTAACCAAGCTGCCGTGGGATGTCTCACCATATATAAATATAGCCTACCTTCCAGGAGAAGTCATTAAGCAGTATGTGCTTGTGTGTAGCGTTTTTGTTTGTTTGTTTGTTTTCATATTACAAATATTCATTTTTATGCCCCCGGATCGAAAGATCGGGGGTATATTGTTTTTGTCCTGTCTGTCTGTCTGTCTGTTCTGTTGTTTGTTTGTTTGTTTGTTTGTCCCCCAACTTTAACCTAGCCCATAACTATTGAGTGGTTGGGGCTATGGCTTTCATAATTCATAGGTGTGTTACTTGTGACATGACCTTTCTTTGGGTACCACCAAATTTGACCTCTTGACCTTGACCTTAGAGTTTGACCTACTTTTATTCTAATTGTTATCAACTTTAACCTTCGCCATAACTTTTGAACAGATGGAGATAGAGACTTCATATTTAAAATGTATACTCCACTAAATAAGCACTTTCAACTGACACCAAGGACAATGACCTTTTGACCTTGACTGTTACCTATATGCTAAAAATAGATTTTTCGAACTTTCGGTATGACTTTTGAACCATAGGAGATAGAGACTTTATATTTGGTATGCCTACTTCACTAATTAAGTGCTTTCAAACGACACCAAAGTCAATGACCTTGTGACCTTGACTGTAACCTTTATGCTAAGAATAGCTTTTTCGAACTTTGTTGCCGCCGGGGGCATAGTGTTTCACAAACACATCTTGTTTTTATATAAAATTATAACATTGTTATATAAAAACTTAAAATATAAGTTTTATAGCAACTTACAAAAGAAATTTTAACTTCAAAATCAAGGTCACAGAGTCAAAAGTCATGATTTATTTAGAAAGGTCTTGTCATAGGTAAAATACAACTTAGATATGAATGTCATATCTTTTCGCTTTCAAAAGTTGTGACTTATTCAAAGTAATTTTAAAATTTTCAAAGTAAATTTTAAAATGAGATGAAATTGTGCTTTCATATCTGAGATGCTTATTATTTGTAGCACGATTTTGACCTCCTAATTTTGAAAATTTTAACTTTGGCGACTTCTTTTGAATCAATGACATATGATAGAGCGTTCATATTTAATAAAATATACCATAAAAATACTAAGACACCGAAAGCGCTAGCCACCTTCTATGAACTTGCATGTTTTAATCCTTTGCCAAGGATTTTTCACTCGACCTCGGTTGTTCGCCACCCCATTCCGCTCCACCCTCATAACAATAAACTGAAATAATTCTCGCTCGAAAATAAAGTTGGATAATCAACAAGTAAATAAATATGTAAATATGCACGTAAACATTGAATCAGATTTTTTTTTAACGGGGGGGGGGGGGGGGGGGGGGGGTATTATAGTTCTATCTGTATGAATTGAAGATCTCATATCTATATTCAACAGTTCAATCCATCTAAATTGTTAAAAAATAATATATCTTCTATACTATTTAAAATTAATATAAACATAACAAGGCATGCCTTGTTATGTTTATTATAGTAGATATATTTTTTAACAATCAAGATGGGGGGGGGGGGGTGCCTATGTATATGTTTATTCACCAATCAAGGGCCCACAGGGGGCATGAACAATTATTACAAAATGATAACATCAGTGTTTTCAATAAGAGCCGGCAACCGGCAAAATTAACCACCTGTACGAGTAATTTTGCCGGCTATGAATTTTCCGTCATTAGGATTTTGCCGGTGCTGATACGAGAAATCCATAGATTTTATCGCAACTATTTCCATGATCTAGAGTAGCTTCCCTTGAGTGCGCTCTTTTTTCAAGGAAGTTTGATTAGATCGAAAGTGTCAGGTAATGGCGTCGCGGACAACGAATATTTGAGCGAAGTCGTGGAGAAATGTGCTGCTGCTTTAATACATGCGTTAGAGATCACACACTTTTATGAGGCATAAAGAATGGTCCCTTCCGAAAAGATTTGTTTGTATTTTATAATTTTCGATTGAAAATTGATCATGTATCCATTTTAATTCTTACAGAATGAAAATCTCAAATGTGAAGCTGACATAATAATTACGAATAAAAGTCTTAATATTTTAATCGTGACTCAGACATAGAAATTCTTACAGCATTTCCTCGAACTGAAAATGAAAAATTTTTGTAAGATCTCTGGAAATACAGGAACAGTATCATTTTCACATTTGGGAAGGTTTTAATGTACTGGTATTTTGTATCAAATTCCATTTTCTTTTTATTTTGTTCTGACTATCTGCACAAAATGTCAAAAACGTAAATCAATTTAAAGATTAATTTATGAAAAGTCTAAGATTGCAGAATATTTCAATGTTTGGGGGGTACTGTACATGAGCAAGTGTTTAAAAAATCTAAAATATTCAACCAAATAATTTTCGAGTTTTGAATAAAAGTCCTGACCAATTTGTGTGAAAAGGACTAAATATGTAGAATTTTAAATATAATATTCTACCACAGACAATTGTCTGAACTAGAATGTCATAGTTAGTTGTCTATATGTTTTTATGGACACTTATTTTTCGGAAGAAAAACCCAGTCTGTTCACACAAAAATTTTGTCAAACAAATCTGTAAAAATGTAAAAAAAAAAAATGGCTCTTTTGGGTAAAAGTTGATAATTGGTAGAGACAAGAATGTGAAAAAAATTACTTTTTTAATGGCCTGAGAAGTCAGAAAAGTGAGTCAAAAATACTGATTTTCGTTTTCGGCCGGGGGCCTTCGCCCCCCTGGGCCCCCTACCAGGGCTCTGCCCTGGACCCGCTGGGGGCCTAAGGCGGCCCCCAGACCCCTCGCCGAGACTGGTTTCCTGCTATTCCATCTGTTTTTCCTTCTATTGAAATTCTTATTGAAAACACTGAACATTGATTACAATTTTATATTAAGGATAATGTAACATGACTTGTGATTAAGTTTGACATTGAGAAGTGCATCACCACACTGGATCAAAAGCATAGAAACCATAGAATGATAAAAGAAAACACAATTAAATAAAAATGATAGATATAAGGTAAATTGAAAAAAAAAAAAAAAAAAAAAAATCTTGTAGTAATGGCAGTACTCTAATATAAAACTAGTGCATCTTGAATACAAAGGGCACCAGGGGATGATACCTCTACACAGCCAGTCTGGCAAACCTGTACCCTAAGTATTGAAGATGGTCATTCAAAAAAAAAAATCATTTAAGTATTAACAGAAATAGTAATTTCAATTAATAAGTACTTAGCATATAATTAGAAACTTAATGCAAACTAATCTCTTGGAGTTAGTTCAATAGATATTTGACATCTGCATACCCACATACACAAACACACACTTACTGTTACACAAATCCATGCATACAAAAATAATTTATATACAAATATATGTATGTATAGTATATATTATAAACATACACTTATTGTTACACATATCCATGCATACAAAAATAATAATTTACACACAAATATATGTATATATATATAAACAAATGGTACTATCCTGTATAAATGTAAATCTGTGATCTTGAAGGTAGCATACAATTAATGTAAAGAAAAGGTAACTTGGATACAGAGGGTACCAGGGGACGATGCCTCTGCACAGCCGATTATACTGGCAAACCCGTACTCTAAGTATTCAAGACACCCATTCTGACTGATTCTGTACATTTAAGAAGGGAATGAGGGGACACATTAAATTTCA